AAACATCCCTTTCACTGTGTGCCTCGTGATGGATGAGCGGCGGGGTGTCCCCTTGACCTCTGACGTGGTTCACCATGCCTGAGATACTGGACCAATGTTTGTCAAGTGAGATGATATGACCGGTCACCTTCTCTCAAAGGTTACCCGGTCATTCTTTGTGCTCAACCCGTCTCTGGTCTTCTAGATTGTTCTTTGTAACATTAGGCGGCATTTTGGCTAACGCCCAAAATGTGACCGGTCACTTTTTTAGTGGAAGTGACCGGTCAACTTTTGACCCGTCCCAATCGAAGAGTTAACTTCATTTGATGATTGATAAAAGTGACCGGTCATATTTTGACCTGTCCCTTTCGGTTGTCCGGGTCGGGTATAGGAATATACCCATCAATGGTCATATACATTACCAAAAAAGTATAGTAATTTGCACATGTACACTGCCACATTACAACAAGACAAAGTCACATTACCACAGTGCAAAGTCCTATTTTGGAAAAAAAATACATGAAAGTCCATATAAATCAATACATTTTTTGAAGGAAAAAATATAAATACATATTAAATATAAACATAATAGTAAAAAAAAACTAAACGTCCCTGCTTGAGCCGTCACCTGCCGCACCTCCAAGCCACCTCCGGGATATTTTATCATTCATCTTCATCACCTCCGCATGCTCCGTCGGCCCAAGCTTATCGACGTCACGTCGGTGGTCACAATTTTGAACTCTTCCTAGAGCCGGTTCTTTAGAACTAAAAAAAGAGCTAGATGTTGAAAGAAACTGGAAGGACTGAAAAAACTAGAAGAAACTGGAAGAAACATGAATGAACTGGAAGAAACTGGAAAAATTAAATAAACTGAAAAAACTAAAACAAATAGACAATCTAAAAAAACTTTAAATTTTTTTGTGTATTTTTATATCATTCTCATTTTAATACTTGTTGTTATAAATTAATAATATTGTTATTATTATTATTATCATTATTATTAATATTATTGTTGTTGTTGTTGTTTTGTTGTCATCACGTTATCTTAAGGAATGCCTTTAAGATAAAAAAATATTTTTATTTTGAGTAAATTCAATAATTGGTCCTTTATAACAGGGGGGTTTCCATATTTAGTCTTCTATTATCAAATATTATCTCCGTAGTCCGTTTTTTAAAGGTGCCTTTCTACAAATTGTCCTTTTTTGATCTTCTACCATGTTGGTATTAATTTAAAGGCTAAAAGTATAATTTGACATTAACATTATGTCTAGTGACGTGTTCTGATATTGGTTAAGCGGATAACACAAAAATAATGATTATGATTGTAAGCTAGGATTCCGACGAAAGACCACATTTGTAGACTATGGTTATAGTAGAAAGTGACTTTAATTCACAAACGATGGAAACAGAACAGCCTTTGAAATTGTGTATGACAAAAAAGATATATTATCATTGCGAAATTACTTTTTTAGCCCTCAAATTAACACCAACATAATAGAAAATCAAAAAAGGACTATTTGTGGAAAGATAACATAAAAAAAGGACCACTGGGGTAATATTTGATAATAGAGGACTAAATAGGAAAACCCCCTATTATAAAGGACCAATTATGGAATTTACGCTTTTATTTTTCATACACAAATACTTTTGCAAAAAAAAAAAGAATATAAAATTAGAATAAATATCAAAGTGTTAAATATTTAAAAGTTAGTGTGGCTACGCTACATGTCATTTTATTTATGCAATATTTATCATAAAATAATATATATTTGTAAGTATACTTTAAATATTATAAGATTTTGTTTGGAATATCAGACATGTCACATAATGTAATCAAACTTGCTATTTTTTATTTAATGATGGATTTTTTAATTGTAACCCTACTTTTGGAATAAAGACGTAGAACATTTTTTTACAATTTTTATGTTTTACTTCTACCGAGATTGGCCCAAGGTGATGTTGTTTGATGAACAAACTAAAGATGCAATGGAGCAGTTAGAGATGAAATAGCAGTTAATATTCTACAATATAGTTAAACTTAATTGAAGATAATAAATATGAGTATAGTTTTTACAATATGATTATGTTGAAAATGATTTGATTATTTATATTCATATGCGCAATATTTTACATATTAGAGACTAAAAAGTAGATCAAATAAATGAAAGTATAACTTTTTTGTTAGTTGTATTTTAATTATGTGAAGTTTGCAGTGAATAGGACTAAAACATAAGTCATTTCTTAATGTAGGACTTAAACTTTTTTATTTTCTAAATAGTACTTAATAATGTCTAGTGAGAAGAATAATATCCCAGTGATGCTGGACATTTAGTTGAATAATGACTAATAGATAATGACCAATGGTCCTACATTGGGAAATAAAAACATACGGTCCTATATTGAGAAAGTCATTATTTGTTATCTCAATTTGTTTTTATACTTTTTGGATCATTTTTTCTTTTCCAAGATGTAGTTTTCTTTTGGTTTTCATAATGTAGTACTCCCCACCCCATTTCATTATTATATTTTAGATTAAAATATTGATGTTTTACTTATATAAATTTGGATTAAAAAACATTTTAGGCAACTATTTTACCAATAATTTTTTTTAAATAGTTTAAAATATTGTTGTTTTCCTATTTTATCTTGTAGATTAATATACAAAAATGGTATTATTAATATAAAAAAAAGTTAAAGAAAAAATAAGAATCAGTGTCAATCATAAAAATAGTGAGATGAAAAAATGAAATAATTTATAAACTATAGTTATAAACAAAATAGGTGCAATAATAATAATAATCATAACAATAATAATAATAATAATAATATACGGAGTATCATTTTTTGAATAATTGGTCGATAAGGAGAAAGAGTTTGAAAAAAATAAAAAAAGTTAGAATAAACTAGAAAAAACTAGAAGAATTGTAAGAAACTGGAAGACATTAGAAAAAACTAAAAGAAACTGGAAGGAACTAGAAGTTAAGAGTTCAAGCCCTAAAAAACAGGCTCTTACTCTAGGTGTTGTCGTTCGAGGGCAAGCTGCTCCGCTTCTTCTTTGCATCTTTGCTCAAGCTTCTCCGCTCTCTCTTGTTGTTTAACTCGAAGCCTCTCCACATTCATCTCAGCAAAGGCAGACAACAAAGTGCTGAGTTGCTCGAACCCTTTAACCAAAGGTTCAGGCGTGATGCACGAGGATCCTTCTCTTTTTTTCGGTCGATTCCTCCCGATGGGTCGTTCCGACTCTAGTGGTGTAGTTGGTATGTTAACATTATTGTCACTGATACTCGGCATCCAACGTGCATCAAACATGTCAGGACTATAGTCACCCGATTTGGATGTTTTTGGATCGACCTTGTTTGGAACTGGCGCCCACTTAAAACATCCATGGAAGATGTCCCACGTCCTAATATGTAGGAATGAAGAAGAAAATTATGCTTGATATTTATCAAGCGCTTGTTGCAAGACATTTTGATCACTTGAACCGCTTGGACGGTTCTGGTAAATGTTGTTGTAGATACCACAATCTTTTTAAATTTTTTATTCATATCGCGGTACTTGGAAGCTATGGAATAAACAAGGCGGTACAAATTGGAGTTCATCAACTCATCAAATTTGTTGGTCACTTTAACTTAAAAGTCGTCGCTTGTCTAAGCATTTCTTGTACACGAGTGATAATAAACTTAAGAAAAAACAAATATTGGAAAAATATTAACAAAAAAAATTAGTTCAAGTTAAACACACCTTTTATGGGGTCGATGGTAATGTTAACCCAAGCTTTGGCTAACGTTTCCTCTTCGGTCAAGGTCCGAGATTTTGAAGCACTCTGAGTCCTTCTTGGGCCCCCTTCACGTTTTCCCTTCCCTTTCGATTTTTCATAGGTTGTGTTTCGGGCACAACCTCATTGATATCGTCATCGATATCGTAAGAGATGTCCTGTGTGGGAGCCATTGCGTGCGGTGGCGGTGGTTGGGACAATCGGGCGCCACTGGGTTTGGAATTGTTGCTAGTGCATTTGTTGTCATTCTTGAAATTTTTGCATTTGGAAAGAACTCGGCCTTTGAACGTAAACCGTAAATGAAAAAAGGGGAAATCATATCAGAAAGAGACCGGTGATCAGAATGGATCCATCGTACTCAGAAATATGAAAAATATTTAAGAATAAAAATACTCAAACTGAAAGAAATTAAATGGATGTGAAGTGTTTGAAAAATATGAGTGGAGTGTTGTGTTTAAATAGTAGTAAGTTTTAAATTTTTTTAAGTTCTAACGGGTAATTCTAAAAAAGTGACTCTTACAACCAACGGAAAAAAATAGGGAGGGGTTCCAGCTCTTCCCGTTCCCACAGAGGGGGGCGGTGTTCCCCTTCCCTAGCTTCCCGCGCCAGGTGGCATCCCCTTCTTATTTCCCGTCATGCACACTGCATGGCCTAATACTACATTCACACAATTGAATATCAAGTTACCAACACAATTCTCAACTGGTGTCACTTAGGGTACTTTAATTTATCTCTTTTATTTATATTTTCTTTATATACAAAACATTTACTATTATATTTATTGCATTTCAATTTTAATAAAAAATGTATTTTTAACTTTTAGTTAGTAATTCTTGGTAAGACCTTTTTTTGCGCCGAGCCTTAAAGATCTTAAGAACGGGCCTAAATCTCGGGCAACAAGCACATAGTGTGCAAAACCTTTACAGAAGCTTGTATATGCTGAAGCAAGCACCGAAACAATAGTACAAGAAGTTTAAATTCTCCACGTGGAAGCAGGGGCGGACCTAGGGTGGCTGCAGTGGGGTCACTTGCACCCACTCCAAAAAAAAATTTTTATTAGTAGTAGTATATAATTAGATATTATATGTAGACTAAGGGCATCCAAGGAGAGTATATTTATATGTGATTAGGTGTTATTTTTTGAAAATGGAAGAGAGGACACATCCTATAGTTGTGTAGAATTTTATGTTTTAATTCTTCTAGATTTGGAAAACTGAAACTTAATTAAAAAATGTTCAATTTTTTTTTGAAATGTATGAAAAAGTTTAATTGTTTTAAAAAGATTCCTAAGATATACTTAGTATTTGAAGAAATGTCTAGAATTACTACTTATCAAGAAATTAAAAAAAACCAATTTTGTTACTCGCATAATAACTATGAAAAATATGTCATAAAGTTTTTATAACGTATATTAAATGTTATAATATCTCAGAATGCTATTTATTGATACTTTTTTTACCTTTAAGGTTTTAAATTTATTGTTATACAAATATCAACATTTTTTTGTGCACAAAATGTGAACCCACTCCCTTAAAATCTTGGGTCCGCCACTGCGTGGAAGAGCAGTTTTCATGAGAGTGAAAATGATTAGATTGTTATTTACTTCAAGAAATACACATATTCTTATGTCTTTCTACTATGTGCTTGATATGTTGATTGTAGAATCTAGTACGAGGAGATAGATTATCTGAAAGCAAGCATGTCTTTCGTGTTTGAGATAAAAGATTTGGGTGCATTATTAGGGTGAGGATTTCTTGGAATAAATTTGCTTGCACTTTAAATTTATCCCAAAAGTAGTACATACATTAAAGTGTTGACTAGATTGAGAGTGAATGGTGCTAAACCCAAGACTGCTCCATTAGTAAACCACACATAAAGTTGTCAAAAGAGTAGTTACTCAAGACAACTGAGGAGAATGAGAGCATGACACTTGTCCCATATGATTTTATATTTGAAGAGGTACACCCAATTCAATACTCCACCTTGGCATTGCCTTGACAAGTTGATTCTACAAGGTTTTGCGGATGCTGATCTTAGTGAGGATGTGGACTAGAGCAAGAGAAAATTCAGGTACATTTGCACTATAGGTTGAATAGTCGTGATTTGGATGTCTAAGCTTCAAAATTATGTAGCTCTTTCATCTAGAGGTTGAGTACATGGCGACAGCAAGAGCTGAGAATGAAATGATATGACCAGCAGATTATCTATAAGAGCTAGGTAAAAAATAATGAACACAGGAAGAAAAGATTCTTTACACAAATAATAGATCAGACAGAGTGTCATAAAGTTGGTAGTAGAGAATTGAACCTTGTCTATCTTTCGAAGACAAAACAAATATGGAGACGACATTATCACTCGCAAGGCATGCAGTTGAATTGAAGAACACAATATGTGTGTTAAGAGAAGATATATATAGCGTGCAAAGAATCCATTGCATGCATGAGACATGCATGTTCACAGAATATGTCAATGTTAAGATTTAAGAAATTGAGGGAATTGTAATAAACATTGATTGTGTTAGGACTCTTTTATATTGATGATGTTAGGACTCTTTTATTTGAGAATGCAACCTTTTGTATTAGTCGATCTCTAAATGGGAGTACTATTAGATCGTGTATTAGCATTCATGTTCGCATTGTGCAACTTCTGTAGTGAGGGTGCCAGGGGGTGTAGGGGTCGGGAGCTCCCCATTCGAGGATGGAGTTTGGGGCATATTTAACCTTGATCCAAATTTTATACTCTCTTCGTTCAACAATAAAGTTCTCGTTCACTATTCACAGGGTCAAACTTTATTCACTTTGTTGGCCCATTTTTGTGTCTTATTTGATAAAATAATATAGTCATGTCACCTCTAGTTTTGTAGATCTTTTCATGTAGTTTTTAAATATGTAATTTTTATTTTTTAATTCCATACCATTTTTCATATAAAATGATTTGAAAATAATTTCAGTCAAACATCGTAACGCGCAATGGGAACTTTATTTGTGGACGGAGGGAGTATATGAAAAATGTCTCGGAGTGCGCCTCACTTTTGAAGGGCACTTACTAGTTACTACTACTTGCATGAATGTAGTGAAATAGGGAATGTTGGGTGCACGTATGATATGGATGGAGGGCCCGTTCCTGAGTCAGCATGGAGCCACTACAAAGTAGGTATCAAGAAGGCAATCGGTTCAACCTAACAAAACCACTTTTTCAATCTTTTTAATGAATGAGAAATTTGTTTTGACACAATTAACGAATTCGTTTTACCATCTATTAAAAAGTTATTTCACTGTTATTAATTGAAATATTTACACTAAATAACACTAAAACTTAAGTCATTTTTCTAAATAGCACTTAAATTATTTTATTTCTTAAGTAGCCCTTAATAATGTCTATAATGACCAGTGATCACGAATATTTACTTGAATAATGACTAATGCACAATGACTAAAAGTGCTATATTGGGAAGAAAAACACATGTAGTGCTATTTAGGGAAAGTCATTATGTTTTTGTGCTATTTGAGTAAATTTCTCTTATTAATTTTTACTTTAGATATCACATGATATGTTTAGAAAAATTAATTATATGTAATAAAACACATTTTACCAAAAAAATTTAACAAAATAATTAAATCTAGTCTATTTAAAGTCACCCCAAAGTACACTTTCTTTAAATCGTTTAAAAATCAATAAATGAAAAGTTTTTAGGTACAGAGAATGTATATTTGAGCATAAAATTAATTAAAGGCCAAATAGCGCCAGTACCCTTTGTGATTTGCAAAACAGACACCAATTCTCCCACTATTTTCAAAACTTATTTCTAAAGTTCCTGTGATTTCAAAATGTTGCACTCGTGCTCCCTCTGATAATTTTCCGGCCATTTTCCTGAAAACGAAAAGGGTGCATTGGTGCATATTTTTTAAACCATACTCAGTGCTAATCTTTATTTTCCACTTATTTTTTTCATTTTTCTCTTTTTTTGTTTCATTTATTAATAAAGGGTTTTTTAAAATTTTTTATAATGTTCTTAAAATTTAAAGTTATTTTTGTACGAAAAATTAACATATAATGCATATGTATATCTCAAGTTAACCATTTTTGTTTTTTCTGAAAAAAAGTAAATTTTTTTTGGGAACTTCAAAAAAAAGAGGAACAAAATAAGAAACAGAATAATACAAAAATAAAAATGAATATCGTTTTTCGACATCTCAATTCTAAGGACTTTTCTGGGCGTGTCCATTTTTTTTGTATAAGACTTTTTTTTCGTATTTTAATTTTTTCATTTCGATTTTATATTTTTTTTTATTTTTTTATTTTGGGTTTTTTAACTTTCCAAAAAATTATTCTAAGTAACAAAAAATGAAAATGTTTAATATGAGATAGATCTAATATATGTTAATTTTTTTATTTTTATTTTTTATTTCAAACACAAAGAATTTTAAAATTTTTAAAACATTATAAAAAATTGAAAATAATTTTTAAAAAAATTCTAGGAAACGAAAAAAGAGATAGAATATATTTTTAAACAGGGAAAACACAAATAATAAACGAAAATAAGAATGAGCACGAATGTCTCCTATGGTTTAGAAATTATGCGTCAATGCCTCCTTTTCACCGGAAAATGACCGGAAAATGACCAAGGGGTGTGGGTGCAGCGTTTTGAAACTACAGGGACTTTAGAAATAAGTTTTAAAACCAAAGAGGGAATTGATGCCAATTTTTCAAACCACGGAGGGCACCGGAGCCATTTGGCCTAAAATTAAAGCACACTTGGATCCGACCCGCAAATCAAGGATAATTTGCATATTATGAGAGAAATTAAATACTGTCTCAGTCCAATTTGAATTTTTCCGGTCCATGTTGCGATGCTTGAAAACCTTTATTTCTAATTCAATTTATTTGATTGTATGTGTAATATAGAAAAATAAAATTATATATTAAAAAACTATATTAAATGATCTACAAAACTAGATGTGACACGATTATATTATATTATCAAATAAGTAATGAAAATAAGGAAACAAAGTTTATAAAATGTGACCTTGTGAATAGTGTATGTTGAGGGACGGAGGGAGGGAGTAATATGGAGTACATATATCGTACTCATCCTATCTTTGTTTCTGAGTATATGTTGAGTTTTGATTTTTTGTAGTTAAAATTGATCATTTATGAAATAAAATTGGTATTAGATATTGATATACAAAAAATTATTAGACAATCATCAATATTTTTATTTTATATAGAGACATATATTATCAAAAAATGATATTTTAAGTTTATTTATTGATACTAATAAATTTATATATATATATATATATATATATATATATATATATATATATATATATATAGTTTGGTTCCGGTGAGAAAGAGATCTTATGAAAGAAATAGGAATGTCTCTCCACCGTTAGATCTGATCGCGCATGCATTTACTTGCGCCCAATCTTCAAGGGCTTTTTGGGGTTTACACGTCTCACACCCACCGATCTCATTCTCTCTCTTATATGCTTCCGAGATTTTCTCGTTATCTATGGATCCGTCTTGCTCTTTCTCTCTCATTTTAACGCATCAATTTCTCTTCTTCCAATCTCAAACATCTGCCTCTTCTATCTTAGCAATCCTCACTTTCACTCTATCACTTTAAATCTACATATCGAGCCGACACGCAGACCTAGGGTTCAACCAAGGCATGGATTCTGACAAGGGCGTGCACGGTGGTGATGGCGCACAAGGGCTAGACAGAGGATGATTCCGGCGAGAAGAAATTACAGGTTTGGTTTTGTGCTGGTCCATCCAAATGAAAAAGAAAAAACTACAGGGAGACTTTTTTTAGCTATTTAATTCAATTTTTTCAATAAGGATTATAAAAGCAATAATTACTTAGATTAAATTTTCTTTTTTAATTTTCTTAATTTTAATTATTTAAAATTCTCATGATATACAAGATCAATATATGTTTAGTTGATACATCCTTTTTAATTTTTGCACACAAGCTGTTTGTAAAATTGCCTTATAGGCAAACAGGTGCAATTTGAAACTTTAATAGTAGTTGAATGAAAGATTATTTAATGTTTAAATGCATGACATACACTCTTGATATGCATCTTTGAGTATGTAAGATGCAGTCTAACATGCTTAAATGATGTGCGGGTAGAGTATAAACATACAACATACTATGTGAGTTTATGTTATCTACAAATTGTTGACTAGTTCATGATTTTCTCATTCAAGTTTTTAACTTTGATTTCTAAGTAAAGAAATCACCCTACATAGCACTCTAACTCACCCTAAATTACGGTAGATCGTGATGAGTAACAAAAATTGTTTAAATCGTGAAAAAACCCCAGTTAGGAAAGGATAGTACGGGAAATTGGAAAAAAGAAAAAGAGTAATTTTTAATGCCGTGAGGGATCCGGCGTGCATGAGAAGAACGCGAGCCGGCGTGCAAGAGCTTCAGTCGCCCGCCATCATGCGTCCTCAGGCCTTCTCCCACGATTCCTGGGCCGATCAGCAGCGCCAATCATCAGGTTATCTCCGCTTCCTTCATCGATGTGGCTAATCATTTTCTCTTCTCCTTCAATTTTTAATTTTCATTCCTTCATCCCTTTATTCGGATTTCCATGTATTTTTAGTTTTAATTATTGTTTTTTATTCGTACTGAAGATTAGGTGATGTGAAATCAATTTTGAAATACCTAGTATTTGTTCCTTTTGAAAAATTAGGTCTTTTGAAAGGCATTATGATTTTGGCAGTGTTAAGATTATGTGCTATGGTGTGGGCAGTGTGAAGATTAAATGCCTAAATGTTGTCCTGCATTTTTAGTTTTATTTATTTCCTTAATCCTTAATATCTGAATTCGGTTATTATCCTTAAAAAAACTTTGCATGTCAAAAAATTAAAAAATAAATTTACTTAAAATAATCCCACCTTTCATTTATTTTCCAAAAATATGTATTTTCAAATAATCCTGTTTAGTGGCCATTAGTTTTTTAACGGCGGCCCAAAACATGCACACATGCATACATCCTTAATATGTATTTGTTTAATATTCTGAAGTTTGTAATGTGACTAAAACGCCTATCATGTATATATATGATGTGTTTTTGTATTCACCACCTCCATTAAATCCAGCATTTTCATCGCATATTAGGTTATACGTCTATTCTTTGAGTTCATTCCTTTATTTAATTTAATTGAATATTTTCTCTTTTATTATTTAAAAGGAGCATCACATATGGGTCCAAATTTGACGATATTGCTACGTGTTGATGGGACATGGGATACTCATGGAAACTTTATATTGTGGTAGTGTAGATATATTGTGGCAATGTAGATATATTGTGGCAGTGTATATATTGTGGCATTATATTTTAGAGATTGAATTTTTGGCGGTGCATATATTGTGGAAGTGTATTTCAGAAATTGAATTTTTGGAAGTACATATTGTGGCTAACATTATGGCAATGTATATATTGTGGCAGTGTAGATATTGTGGCAGTGTATTATATTATATCTATTCTCTTAATCTCTGAGAGTTTTTCTCTCATTTTACAACACGTTATCAACATGAATTTGCTCAAAAATCTCAGAATCCTTGTTCTTCTCAGAAGGTATATTTATTTAATTTTCTTCATAAACAAACTAAAATATTTTCTTAGAAACTATGAGAAGTATGCTCTGTGATTGCCTGAATTGTGGGAGTGTAGATATATTGTGGCAGTGTATATATTGTGACATTGTATTTCAGACATTGAATTTTTGGCAGTGCATATATTGTGACAGTGTATTTCAGACATTGAATTTTTGGAAGTACATATTGTGGCTAACATTATGGCAGTGTAGATATATTGTGGCAGTGTATATATAATACAAATTTGTTTAATTAAGGGTAATATTGGGAATTCATCTCAAAAACTTATAGCACTGCTATTTTGCGTATTATAAGCCTATTAAAGTGAAATATTCGTATTTCTCCCTTCTAAGTATTTCATAAACCCATAGTGTTGATTTCATAGTGTTTTAAGAATGTTATTTCGAAATTCTGAAGTGTGTTTATGCATCACTTCGACCTTTGAAGCATTGTTTATGACTTTATGTTATTGTGCATTATTGGAATCAAGGTAATGCATTTCCATATCACACTCTTGCATTGAGAATATATTTGATGGTTATTCCAATTGATTATTCAATGTGTTCTTGCTGATTAAAATGGCATTGTGCTACTTCCTATCATCATATTTCTACAATTGGTGTGTGTTGTGTTTCATTCACATGAATTTTCTGTTGTTATCAATTCAATGTTTATTTTCCTATAAACTCGTATTCTTTAAAGGTAAATCTATACATGTAGAATAATGCAAATTTTAAAATAAGTATTTAACAGGTCAAATCATGTCCAAATGTAAGATGAGAGTCTATTTAAAAAACAAAGTATTGCCTATTAGCTCAAATGGTAGAGCGGTATGTAGTAAGGATGTGAGTTCGAATCCCGCATAGGCAAACTAAGTTTCAAATATATTTTGTAGCTTAAACAAAAAAGTGAGGGCTTTTTATGTTATCTTGCATTCTCATAGAAACCTTAATGCATTCTCAGATCACAGTGCCTATTTCTACCATTGAATTTCATATAACTGAAGCATATGTTATTCAACTCTTTTTGGTAGCTGTGGTTGAGCTATACAAGCTGGTGCTAGGAACCACCGTACTGGCTACATATCGGTTTTAAAATTTTAAAAGTTTTTGTTGGCTTGGAAACTTTAAGATTCAATTCATCTTCAAATAGGTACACAATCCTTGGGTTGGGCAGATTTGTGATTTTGGTTGTTAAGTTTAATTGGTCCTTGGCTATATTAGATACAATGCTCTATAAATTTTTTTCCTTTTTTTAAATTTTTTATGGCTTTAGTATGGACTCCCATTTTGTATCTTTTTTCTCATTTAGATTATTTGAATTATATATTTTTGAAATAACATTCACATTGTGCTTTTCCTTATGCATATATTGATCTGTAGAGTGTAAAATTTTTAGCGCAATATAAACAAATCTTAGTGCATTATAATGAATTTGCAGTGTGCAGTGCATGATTTACAAATACCATACTCATTTATAAAGATGCTACTTAGAAGTTCAATATATTAGATTTAAATTGTGATCATTTGCATTCTTGGATTCTTTTAATGCTGCGTAAAATGAATCAAAGAACCACTGCATTTTGTAAAATATAAAATTGTAACATTCAAACACTTCAAATACACTTCATACACGCATGCTCTATAAATATACCGGTATGCATTATACATGATAGAGCTTTATAGATTGAATGATACTTGGAAAATTCCCAAAATGCATTCTCAAAAGGTCACAACAAATTTAAAAGCACACCCAATTTTCTCTGATAGCATAGTGCACTCCCAAAAATCAAAATCTATTCTACTTAAACATATCAGATTGATTGTTTTTTATTCATTGTCGTTGATCGTGGAATCAAGACCTTTCTTCGATTGCAAATCCTCAGAATCCTTGCTTCTCTTCTCAGTTTCTGCATTTACTTTATCTACATCTTCTTTAGCGGCTACATCACGGCTTACTTCGGGTTTATATTCATCAGAAATAAAATCACCCTCAAACCCTAGTGCATCACCCTCCTCTTTTCTTCTCTCGTACTACCAACAAAACAATAAATGTATGAGTACCGTTAATGCAACAAAAATTATAATATTGAAGTAAAAAAAATAAAAGTATCTACATGTTCATGAATGTTGCAGATTCTATGAACTGAAATGCAACATTATAGGCTCAAAATTCAATAAATGAAAATGATACCAATTTCAATTGTACGCAATAATTAAGCCCAACTGCAAAAGTATCCATTTGATTAAAACATAAGCACGAACTAATTCTATCACACTAACAACAAAATAAAGGAGTGATTCATCATGTAGAATCTAAAATGCTAAATGAAACATTCAAAACACCATACACCAATATACTCTCGCAATACTCATATAAGCAATACTAACCAAATTAAATCTTAGAAAATAAGCGGTGATATGCTTATACAATGCACAATCAATTTGTGCAAAATAAATCTTATGTGATGCAACATAGTAATTATATTAATTGTATGCATCTCAAATTTTGTGGAAACAAATCACTCATATGTAGTCACACAAAACGCTTACCTATAAAGAACAAACAGAATGCGACATCAATTTAACATAATGCATTTCACAATAATACAAAATGCACACTCATAGAGCACAAACAGAATGCTACATCAATTCATCACAATGTATTCACTTCAAATCACTTCCCGTCTATAACATAGACACCTTTATAACAATAAACAATTAGAAAATTTTCTTTATTAACTTTATGTTAAAGACAATGCATTATTTTATTCGGACTATGCATAATTTTATGTATTATAACAAAAAATCTAAAAATCCTCGAAGTATTGTGGCGGTGTAAAAAGCAATAATGGTGCACATTGAGAAACCCCATATTCATATTCAATTTAAGATCAATTTACTTTCTTTATCAAATTAAACAAAAATCAGAAGCTCGAATTAAAACAATATTAAAAAGTTGTACCTGATGAATGATGATGATGCATCTACAACATCTATCTGAGCCTTAAGCTTCGCCGCCGCCGCATACAGGTCACCGAAAAAATTTTCTTCTCTCACATCAATCGTTCTCTTCATCGTTATTGTAATTGCTGAAAATTGCAATTCTTTTTAAGATCTAGGTTTTTTTAGACATGGACTCGAAGGAATGATGAAGAAGCCGATCGGAGGGGATGATGAAGTCTAAAAAGTACGGAGAAGAATTACTCCGTATACTCTATTGAGAGAGGAATAGATCAGCGCCTATTTAGGTACAATAGTGTTTCCCCAAAATACCCTTCTTTCCTTCTATTTTCCCTAATTACGTGCACTTTGCTTACTTACCATATCCAATGTTTTAGTAATTAGATTCAGTATTATTAAACCTGGACCGTGCGATCGTAATAAGCCTATGATGTAGATCTATTCTCATTTCTTTCACCAAGGTTTATTCTCACAGGAACTGGCCCATATATATATATATATATATATATATATATATATATATATATATATATATATATATATATATATATATATTAAAAAGGAAACTTTATTAAACAAGAGGAAATAAGGAGGGATTACAATCTAGTGTTCTGGAAACTACAAATGCCCACTTGAAAAATAGATGACTTATACAAAAAACTGGTATCTAATTTATTTGCCCAAAACCAAGCTTGAGTGAGTTTGTTTATGGATGTCAACAGCCCGTTGATGGATGGTTTACGTCCTTGGTAGAGAAAGGAGTTGTAGAGTTTCCAAACGGACCAACATAAAAGACCAGGTAGGATAAATCTCAAGTTCCCTTTGATGCTGCCCTTGTTTGACGAAAACCACCAGTTGAGAATGATTTGCTGAGTAGTTAAATCTCCTCCTGCCGAAGGTGCATTGACAACTAGAGAGTAAGTTTGCCAAATATGGGATACCATTGAGCAGCCTACGAAGATATGTTGTTCATCAACATCCGGTTCATCACAGAAGGGACAAGGTGTGTTTATCATGATTCCCATTTTTTGAAGGTTTTGTGGGAAAGGTAGCAACTTGTTTAAAAACCGCCAAAGGAAGATGCTGATTTTTCCCATTTGCCTCTTGTCCCAGATACAAACAGAAGTAAACATTTTTGGCTTGTGTTCAAACGTGAGAGAGTAGGCAGTTTTGAAGCTGTATGTCCCTGATAGCCATGCCACATCTTCACCATGAAAACTGCAGTGTGGAAGGACCAAAGGGGAGATCTTGCAAATAGCCTTCCACGTGTATGAGTCATAGATCTTAGGGGAGAAGAGTCCATCTCTGAAATATTTAGACTTCATAAATTTCCCCCAGATAGAATTTCCAGTAACCACCTTCCACCACAGGTCTATGTAAGCTGCATCCTGGCTATTGAGGAGGTTTCTAAGTCCCAAGCCTCCTTCCTCGAATGGAAAACAGAATTTTTCCCATTTTCTCCAGTGATACTTAGGACCTTCTTCGTTTATTCCCCAGAAGTAGTTTGCCATAAGTCTATTCAAACTTTTGAGAATTGATTTTGGAATTCTTTGTGCAGCCATAAGATGTAAAGGAATTGAGGATAGCACGTGTTTGATGAGAATGAGCCTCCCCATCTGATTGAGCTTCTTGCTGTACCAAGCATTTATTTTTTTCTCAAATTTTTCAACCAATGTCTTACAGTGAACCTTCCTCAGTTTACCCTTGACAATATTAGAACCAAGGTAGGTAAATTCCTTTGTGTGACACCTGATGGATAGGATTTTTCTGATCTGGTTTTGCTGCTCTGCCTTCATTCTTTCATGTACTATAACTTGGCTTTTAGAGTAATTTATTTCCTGTCCTGATGCCTTCATGAAAAGGGAAAGAAGTTCCCTAAGTCTCAATAGATTCCTGCTGTCTGCTTTGGTGAAAAGGATGATGTCATCAGCATAAAGAACATGGCATGGTGTGAAGTTTCTTCCAGCTGAGAATTGTGAAATATATCCTAGGGAGAATTGATGATTTAAGAACCTGGACAGACCTTCCAAGGCAATGATGAAGAGAAGAGGGGATAGGGGGTCTCCCTGCTTAACTCTACATTTCATGGAGAAAAAACCCTGTGGCTGGCCATTTACCAATACAGAGAAGTGAGTTTCCCTAAGGTTACCCATTAAAAGATGAACAACAGGTGGGCTAAAACCAAATTTGGTTAGCACAGCATCCAAATAAGTCCAGGAGAGTTTGTCAAAAGCCTTTGATAAATCCAGCTTAATGATGCAGTTTCCCCCCCTCCCTTTAGCTGAGAGAATGTGGACCATTTCTTTTACCATGAGAACATGTTCAGTAATGTTTTTACCAACCTGGAATGCTGCTTGTTCCTGGGAGATTAGTTTAGGAATGATTGTTTTGAGCCTCTCACTTAACAGCCTCGAAATGATTTTGCTAAAGAAGGTTGACAAGGAGATGGGACGAAACTGGTCCAAGGTAATGGAGCCTTCCTGCTTAGGGATCAGGGTAATAAGAGTGCTGCCAAAAGCTTTTGGCATCGGGATGCCCACAAAGAATTCCTGAACTGCCCTACAAACATCAATTTTGATAATATCCCAGGAATCCCTAAAGAAAAAACCATTAAAACCATCTGGACCAGCAGTGCTATTGGCATTTAAGGACCAAATTGTTCTCCTGATTTCCTCCTCATCTGGGATTGACCTGAGCAAACTGTTGTCCTGGGGAGATACACAGTTAGGGATGTGATCTAGGATTTGTCCCATATCCCCCTCATGAACAGTGGAGAAAACCCTTGAGTAGTGGTCCACTGCCACTTTAGAGATCCCCTCCAATGTATTGTGCAATTTCCCATTATCATCTTTAAGAGAGGAGATACACAATCTATGCCTCCTTCCTTTAACAAAAGAGTGAAAGAAAGCTGTAGAGGCATCCCCTTGTGAGATCCACCTTATATTTGCCTTTTGAGCCCAAAAACTCTCCTCTTTTTTTAGGGCTTGTTGGAGTAGGGCTGTGGCAAGTTTGAATTCCAGTAGATTTATTTGTGAGTTCTCTTGTTCAAGTTTTTCTTCTGCTTGTTCTGCCCGTTTTTCAGCATCTTTAACATCCTGGAAGAGGTTCCCAAATGTTTCTTTATTCCAAGTGAGAAGGGTGGCTTTGAAGTTTGAAAGCTTGCAAACTAACCCTCTCATACCCCCACCATGATAGGTTTTGTCCCAAGAGGAAATAAGAAGGTTTCTATAAGTAGGATGGGAGTTCCAGACATTCAGGAATTTGAAAGGCTTTGGGCCAGATCTTGAGCTAAGAAGACAGTTTAAAAATAATGGCCTGTGGTCAGAGTTCCCCCTTCCCAGGTGTTTAACTTCAAAAGTATGAAACAGATCCAAACAAACCTCATTGATAAGGATTCTATCAAGTCTTCTACACACTCTCCCTCTCCCCCTATTACCAAACCAAGTGAATTGGCTACCAAAAAAGGAAGGGGAGATAAGGTCACAATCAGCAATGGCCTTATTGAAATCATCCATACTACCAAGGTCAGGGCAGACTGCCCCTTTGTGTTCAATAATGGAGGCCACAGTGTTAAAGTCCCCACCAATGATCCAAGGGCCCTGAATAGGATGGAGGTTTCTCATAGAGTTCCAAAGCCCAACTCTATCAGCCCTGGTGTGCCTACCATAAACACTAGAGATCCAGAGTGAAGAGGAGGAGCCAAGATGATTAAAGCAGCAAGAGAGGATCTGTTCATCCTCAATCACTGCCTGAAGGTTGAGAAGGTGGTCATTCCAAAAGAACCAGAGTTTATTATTAAGGGCAGAAAAACCCTTAGAAAAACTAAGCTTGAGTTTGTACCAATCAAGTTTCTCAGGATCAACCATGGGTTCAATAAGGGAGAGAAAATGGAAGTTGTGATGTTTGAGAAGATGTAAGAGACGAGGGAGAGAGATGAGGATGCCTCTAAGATTCCAAAAGAGACCAATCATGGGGAAATCAATGGGGAGAATTTATTTGAAGAAATATGTCTAGTGACCATAGGGTGACTCCTCACCTTAGTTCGAGAGCTGAAATCCTTGGGGCTCTGGGAGATAGAATCCTTTAAAGGAGGGAAGTCCTCCCTGGAGAGGAGGGCATCCAGTTGTTTTAGTTGATCGTCAATATCTTCTGGCTCCTTGAAGAAACCAATGTCTGGTACATCATCCTCTGGAAGAGCAAATCCTTCAAAGGGGACTATGGCCAGGCTATTGTCAATTATATCTGGGACTTCATACAGAATGGGAGCCCTAACCACGTTTTCATGAAGATGACGCAAAGTAAAGGCTGAGAGGATATAGGGGTCTGAAATGGAGTAGGTCCCAGCCTTCTTATGATCTGCTTTATTTGTATTTGTGGTTGCATAAGGAAAAATAATGGTGGCCTGGGGAGTCCCAGGGGAGACAGGAGGCTTTGCTTGGCTATTGGAGGACTCACCTGGCCCTTCTTTCCAAGCAGGAATAATTGGTGCAGGTTTGGCCCGCCATTCTAACTTCCCTGCCCCATTAACTAGCAATTTGTCCTTACCCTTTTTGGAAACAACCTGTTGCCATTGTTCACCAATTTTATCCTCTTTGGCCTGTACCTGGTTGTCCCTAGCACCCTTCTCTGAGAATGCCTCCCTCTTATGATTATCCTTCTCCGGTGGAATTTTCCGATGAGCGCAGGTCTCAAGAGTGTGACCTGTTTTTTTACACGTCTTATAGAAAGGGGGACATTTTCGAAGTAGAAAGGGAAAATAAGCTCCTCTCCCCCATGATTAATGAGGACCTTCGCCGGAGGGAGGTTAGAGATATCCACCTCCACACAACATCTTGCCAAGCCCGGCCGAGAGAAATTTAGAGTGTTGGAATCAACTTTCAGAGGGGTGCCTATGGAAGAGGAGATAAGATGGAGAGCTCTCTTATCATGAAGATGGATGGGGAGAT